GTCAGACTCTCCTGTACCACTTTGCCCTAAATGTTATACCCCTGAGGTTGTAAATAAACCCTTTTAAGGTGATATAACTTGTATCATTATTATAGGGCTGTGAAATCCATAGCCGAATGGCTTCAGACTGAGCATTTCTCACTGGAAATTGCTGCTGACATTGAACATAGCTTAAGGTTAGGGTATTTCATTCATTTCAGACTCTCCTATGCCACTATTCCCAACATCTTATACCACATAGGTTGTAAGTAAACCCTTTTTAAGCTGATATAACTTGTATTATTATAGTGCTGTGAAACCCATAGCCAAATGGCTTCAGACTGAGCATTTCTCACCATTTATTTACGGAGAGCAATTTCCGTTTTATAACAGCTAGTGTACAGTTATTCACAGTAGTGTGTTGATTAATTATTGCTTTCTTCAGTGAAAATACAGAATATGTATAAAAATGCCAAATATACCAAAAGCTAAATCAAGCAGAGATTTACAACTATTTAACCATGTTAATCATTACTGAAACATGCAAACTACAAACATTTCACCAGTTAAAGATAATGAATACATGACAACTAGATACAAATATTCATACAAAAGTCAAGAGTTGGCTATAACATGAGTACAAACAAAGTGAGTGTGTGTATATATGTGTGTAAGTGTTTGTGTGCATGTGTGTGTATTATGGTGTGTATTATAATTTCCCATCATAAAAATGTATCCCCATTCCCAATCAAATACCTTCATCGATACCAAAAAATAAATACAAAAAGTATTTTTTCTCCAATCTGGCAACCCTCATAAAATTCGATATAGCCTTGTGTAAAATGCATTATGAAAGAAATGGTGTACATGAAAAAGTGGAGCCTTGAATTAAATGCATTATGAAGAGAATTGTGTTGGCCTAATGTTGCCTACACACAAAAATACCCTTTCTGACTACAAGCATCCCAAAGTATTAAGCGAAAAACAAGCAAAAAAAAAACAGTATTGGCATTAATAAAAAATAAAACAACGTAAGGCTCCTACTATATTAGAATTAAACAAAACAACGTAAGGCTCCTACTATATTATAATTATTTTGGTGACAACCTGGTTGATTACGTTTGTTTTTTTATTTAAATAAATGTGGGACACAAAAAAAGGCAGTGTAGAACACCATTGCCCATCATGCATTGCTCTAATAACTCAAAAGATTGGCCTTCACATCTGCCACCAATACGACTTAACGACGTAGAACGACTTGCTGACAAGTGGACAGCAACACCAAGACGCTTTCTTGCTCGCTGGTAAACTGACTCCCGAGCTTGTGAGCCGCCTCCTATATGTGTGAAATTAACCATATGCTTGTCATGATACATTTTGGTAATCACTTTTCAGTCCCTAAAATGACAAAATGTAGCAGCTATATTGCATCAGGATTAAATTATTAAACATTTTGTACAAGTAATATATTATTGGATTACAGTAGTATTACGTTTAACGCTGTCTACCTATCCTTACCCCAATCATTCCAGTGGAATCTAGACGGCACTGATCCCTGTTTAATACGGATCCGTCCACTGGCCGATGTGTATCTATCCTCAGGGGGAAAGTGCTGACTGCAAACAAAGGTGCTCCCACGAAGAATCTTAAAACTTGGTCCCTCATCTCTCCTGATCGCCCTCACCCAACGGGCACGTATTTCTCCATCAACAGGGAAATCGTGAAAACTCAGATACGGGAATTTCTGTTTGTTGTTTGAACAAAATGGTACACTGCAATAGCATCTTCTCGAAGATTGTGCCATGCTTCGGTGTTGGATGGGATACTGTTGCGATACAGACACCGGGAGAAAAGAAACAGCTAAATTAACATTCAGCTTTGACCAGGAATCAATATTTATCTAGCTATCATGCACAACAGTATTTGAATAGGTGAGTTACTATACATTCATGAATAAACTAACTGCCTAACAAAGGGTTAGATAGCTAGCTAAGTAAACTTGTTACATTACAGCCAGGCAGCAATGTAACGCTACCTTTTAACGTTATCGGTATCTGGTACTAAGTTGTTGTTAGCTAACGTTAGCCCACTTTTAAGTAACTAAGGCAGTGAACAATTATGAATTAACAATAACGTTAGCAAGTTACAAACCATTGCATATACGTAAACATTATTACTCTTAACTTTACTAATTTAACTTAAACGTACCTTTTGGAATTTTGAGCGAACAACATTGTTTTAGAAAGTAAAACAAGAGAGAGATAGGCTTTTGGCAGAGCGTATCCGCCATCACCCGTGAGTGAGATGCACATTATTGGGTGAGTCAGTGAAACTGGAACGCTTTTTTAGGACTATTTCCTCTTCATTTTGTACAATATGTGTGTCTCCACACACCTAGGCCTAGGCTATTGATGGATCTTTTTTTATTTTTTATCATTTAACAGACGCTCTTATCCAGAGCGACTTACAGTTAGTGAGTGCATACATTATTTTTCATACCCCCCGTGGGAATCGAACCCACAACCCTGGCGTTGCAAACGCCATGCTCTACCAACTGAGCTACATTCAAGACAAGGTCGTTTTTATTGATCTCAGATTCTCAATTTGTGAGGTATTCAAAAAGATTCTGCTAAAGTCTCCAGTCATCTAATATTATGTAGAATTGCATGAAATGCGTTTATAAAAGGCAACATTTTTCCCGGACCATAGGCTTTAAAAAAAAATCTACTCTACTGCTCTATGCCAGCACGCAAAAGCGATGATATGCATGCAATGCTTTATTATAAAGGTGATTTTTTTCTCTCTCATAAGATCCGGTACATCAGAGCCCCCAGGGCTCGGCTCGTTTTTTGTTCCCGCATCTCCCAATTTACAAATTAAGCACTGCCCACTCCTAATAATTCACCTCAAAATCAAGTTTTGTGACAAAATAGGTCTAAAGTCCATATTCCATTCTATCTGCTGCAGACCCAGGTGTAGTCTGAGTTAGAAAAAATCTACAGGCATAAATCCTCAATAAACTTGAGAGAATAGCCCCATACATCTCTCATGTTCACCTTTGTGGAAAACTGTAGTGAACAAAAATATAAAAGCAACATGTAAAGTGTTGGTCCCATGTTTCATGAGCTGAAATAAAAGATCCCAGACATGTTCCATACACACAAAAAGCTTATTTCTCTCAAATGTTGTGTACAAATTTGATTACATCCCTGTTAGTGAGCATTTATCTGTTGCCAAGATAATCCATCCACCTGACATTGAGCATGTTTGGAATGCTCTGGACGTGTAGGACAGTGTGTTCCAGTTCCCGCCAATATCCATTAACTTCGCACAGCCATTGAAGAGGTGTGGAACAACATTCCACAGGCCACAATCAACAGCCTGATTAACTCTATGCGAAGGAGATGTGTCGTGCTACATGAGGCAAATGGTGGTTTTCTAATCCAAGCCCCTACCATTTTTTAAAGGTATCTGTATTCCCAGTCATGTGAAATCTATAGATTAGGGCGTAATGAATTTATTTTAATTGACTGATTTCCTTATATGAACTTTAACTCAGTAAAATCTTTAAAATTGTTGCATGTTGCGTTTATATTTGTATTCAGTGTAGATGCAGGCCAATGCCAAAGGTCAAACATTTCCATATACCGATTCATGCCTGCATCAAAATGTGACAAGGTCTGATAATTTTTTTCTGTCAATAATACTTTAGGAAGAAAAGCTCAGTAGCTTGACTAAGGCCTACAGTTGCAGAGACAAGCAAAACAAGCCTATGCATTGGGTGACATACAGTACATGCAGAAAAGGTGGACTGTGGGATACATGGACACGCTGGACCATTACCATGTGTACCTTTTCCACGTTTTAATAACACATTTAAAAAGTTGCCTAAATAAAACTAGTTGGCAAAGTAGCCTGAATAATTGATCAAATATAGCCCAATTTGGACTGACTTTAAAAGTGACAAAGATATTGATCGTATAAGTTTACAAACTCAAATAGCAACTCATATATAATTTAATCAATTCGTTAGAAATTGTCAATAAAAGGTTACCGCGAAAAATATGCGCCCATATTCAAATACCACAAGATCACGCCCACCGCAAAGTCATTTAAATACTTCGCCAGCAGTCGTCACAGACAGAGTGCGCGCTTCCATTTCTTTTGTGACGACGTGCCTCTCTGAACACCAGCTCTTCTCATTCTGTCCGTAAAAGGTACGTTTTTATATATTTTTTTGGGAGGTTGTATTCAGCTGATTGCCTGTTTTATCGTTATTATGATCGGCTTTAGGTATTCTAAATAATATTTAATGTGTAAATTACAGATAAATTGAGTTATTGTTGAATAAACGTGGTTCGAAATCCGCTTAAGCTAGCTACAGTACTCAACTAGCTAACGTTATTTTTCACACATTCATTTTGCTAGTTCACTTAAACTGATTTATGATTTTTTTCTACGAGAACTAGCTTGTTAACATTAAATACATGGCGGATATTTTAACCTTTTTCTTCTTCTTACAATAATAAAATATAATTTTCAGTTCTTGTTTCACCTAACTAGCGATCAACTTCATTGTTAAAATGGCTGCATCTCCGCCTTTAGCCCGTTAGCTTAGCACCAGTCACCAGGTGGCGAAGCAGGCCAACAACGTGGTGTAAAATGGCGCTTCATTCTTATTTTTATTATTCTAAACACTAATTTAGCCAGATGGCTAACCCGCTTTTATGTTTCACCCTTAATCTGTTGGCCGCCATAGCACGTTTTTAATAACATTCGAAATTGTTTTATTTACCTGAATACCGATAATAATATACAGGTTGGCCTAACGCTAACTGGCTAACGTAGCTAATTCTGTTGTGCGCAATGTGCGTCAGACAATTGTTAACTACCGTAGATGTGACTTAGTTAAGATTTTACAACTCATGTAGGTATCAGGAACACGTTAGGTAACGTTGATATTAATGGAAATGGCTAGGTACCTAAGCTGTTTTTACGATTGGGATTTTATTTGACCCGGGCTTTTTCTGTTGCAGACAAAGAAACATGTCCGACGAAGGAAAACTTTTCGTCGGTGGCCTGAGCTTCGACACAACAGAGGAATCTCTGGCTGAAGCTTTTGCCAAGTATGGAAACATCGCAAAAGGTGCGGTCTACGTATTTTATTTGATAAGCGATGGCTAGTTACTAAATATTATCAAATGTTTAACTGTATTTGTCTTCGCTCAGTTGATGTCATCAGGGACAAAGAAACGGGAAGGTCTCGTGGATTCGGTTTCGTAAAGTACGATAATGCCGAGGATGCGAAGGACGCTTTGGATGGAATGAACGGCAAGGTAGCTAAGTCGATCACAATTTACCCAAGCCAGAACTGAAGTGCATTTATTTACCTCTTGGTTTTTGCATGTATGATTATTAGAGCACATGTGTTTGAACGTGGTTCTGGAGAACATTATCTAGCCATTACTAATGTCTTACAACATGATGGCCCAACCTCAAATGTCAATGCATTTAACCCATTATTTATATATAAATAAAAACGTCTATAAACTGCTGCTAACTCCCTGTCTCTTGCAGTCTGTTGACGGCAGAACAATTCGTGTGGATGAGGCAGGCAAGGGCGGTGGTCGTTCTGGAGGCGGAGGGGGTGGATTCAGAGGTTCCAGAGGAGGCGGTGGATATGGCGGTGGAGGTGGATATGGAGGGGGGAGAGGAAGAGGTGGGCGAGTTTACTCGCGAGGTATGGGCAGACAATCTGCAAAATGGTGTGCTCCCCATCCTCCATTAGCGTTTTGTCCTGCCCTCCCTCTTAGCCGTAGTCACCTTTCTGTGTGTTTGCTTTCCATTTGAGTTTGTTTGGACTGTTCTGGTTTGTTCCCAGGTGGTGGAGGATATGGTGGTGGCGGCGACAGGGGATATGGTGAGAGGAGCTATGGTGGCGGCGGAGACAGGAGCTATGGTGGCGGCGGAGACAGGAGCTATGGAAGCGGCGGCGGTGGTGGATACAGGAGCGGCGGTGGCGGGGGATACTCTTCCGGTGGCGGAGGATACAGGGACAATAGGTGAGGCGACACGTCCGACTGCCAATTAAGAGTTTCTCAAATTGGTATTTGTAGAAATTCTTCTCTTGCATCCTTAACGGACAGGGACCTTACCTATATTTTTTATTTTCTCCTCCAATGTTAGGGGCCAGGGAGGCTACGGGGATCGCTCTGGGGGATCCTACAGAGACAGCTACGACAGCTATGGTATGTATTAGTCGTGTATTGATGTTCTTGCGTCATAGGCCTAGAACACTTCCTCAAGGTTCTGGAATCAAATCTGTTTCCCCTGACTAGTATAGAATGCCATCTAGTTCAATTCGCCTTCCCTCAAGTGTACTCCTAACTTATGCAATCTGCTGGGATCATATATTTGCTCCATCTTACATCAGCACAGTTTATACAGAAAGATCTCCCCCACTAGTTGGTTCAGCTATTTGGGACTGTTTAGTGGGTAACTATGTGGGATGTTGTCAAACTCAAATGTTCGTAAACTTGTTTCCTAAACTCAGTGTCTATCTGTGTGCCCACTTCTTGTCCTCAGCTGCTCACGAGTAAAAATCTGCCCCCCCGATTCAAGATCATCCCTTGGCTGGCTGTATTTAAAAAGATGCGCTCCTCTCAAGAAATTTGTCCACGTGTTGACCTGATGATTTTTGTAGTCCTATTCTGTGTTTAAGTAGCTCGAGCGTCTTTAAATTTAGCCATGAGTTTCGGCCATTCATTTACAAACCATGTAAAAAAAAAAATAGTTCCAGTTTGAGATGTTCTCCTCTAAAGGACGCATCTCAATTTGCTCTTATGGCATTTCAATTGATAAAGCATAGTGTCTGACTTGTTGGTGCTGCAAATTTAGTGAAAACCAAAACATTGCTTCACATGGCTGTTTTTGAATATCTACAGCCTCAGTTACATTCTACGCCCTGTTCCTATCCAGCACTCTGACATCTCCATTAGCATCTTAAATATGAATATTGGGGATATCAATGGGGCAAGTTAAGCTTCATGTTTTTGTTTTAAAACGACCATGTCCGACCTACCTCCTGCCAAGTTTTAAAACTGAGTTTAAAAAAAGTTTGATTCCACTTAGATGCTTTTGACAAAACTGGCCGGGAAGTGCTTTTTGGATTTTTATGAATGCATTCCTTGTGTGTTGCTAGGCAGCAATGCCTTCACCCATACCAATGAGGTTCTTGATGTAGCCGAAGTTCCTGTGTTAAGTTTCCAAAAATAGTGATTTCCTTTAAGACTGGTGACACTGCACGCCTGAAGTGGCTGGCTGTTCATGAAGTTGCAAATTGCAGCGTGCTAGTCTGCCCACGGTATTTTGTTTTGCTCTGCTCAAAGCCTGCATTTTAAATGTGCTTGTTATAATGGACTGAATTTAGAAAAAAAGATTTGCCTCATACTGTTACTACTCTTCTTGCCCAATAATCCACCTGGGAACGATTTTGTACTTTCTGTTCTTTGTATCATCAACATTGACGATTATTTTTTTGTCAATTTTGGCTTCATGGAGCCCATTAAAACGATTTGTTGAAAATACGTGTGCCTTGAACGTACTTATGGGGGAAATTAGCAGTTTATTTTCAATGATTTGCCAGTTGCAGTATTTAACAGCAAGTTCTCGTAGTCTAAACTTCACTCCCAACATATACTTTCCAAAACTGGAATTAACTTTATACTGCAATTCACAGGAAGTGCCATGGTTCCAGTATTTTAAAAGGAACTTCTGATGGCATATGTTCCCTCTGAGGCTAAAGTGTGGGGTTTGCCTTTGAGGGGCTAATGGTTAGTTGGGTACCGGTAGTCTAAAGTTACAAATATAGTTGTAATACTTGATGCCACAGTGCACATCAGTAGTGGTTAGTTTAATCACCAACTAGAGCAATATTGTATGATCTTGCCATGTCTAGTGTGGCCTACTCATGGGGTTGGGGGGGGGGGGGGGGGTCCTGTTAATGCTTCATTGCTCAGCTACAGAAAATGTCTACAAGTCCTTGGCGAATGAAGTGTTGCTCCTACCAACCAGTGCTCGTCAGAAGTGAAAGCTGCTCTCTTGCCTAGTTCATTTGTGGACAATCAATAGGCCAGTTCACGTGAGGTAAACTCCTTTTGCTCACATCCTTTCAAAGTTATTTTATATCCAGAAATATTTGAGTGTTTTAGCCATTGTCCCCTGCTGCAGAGACTGCCAGTCAAACGTCACCCTGGCCGTTTTGCGACTCAAGACTCTTTAAGTCCACAACAACTGTCCCCTCTAGAAATGTGCCTTAGCGAAATGACCTGGCCTCAGTACGATTACTCTTGCGTCATGTCTGCCATGTATTTCAGTCCTTCAGAAATTCTCAGTTGTGTTCACCTCAATTAAAGCTGACTCAATTGTCCCCTCTTGGATGTACAACCCACTGATATATGTATTTTGTTTCTTACTCATGTGTTTTATAGTGTGGTTCTAAGCATTGTGTACAAAGTCTGGGTAGTTTAACAAGTTAAACTGCATGCCAATGTATTGCTGTTGTCTTTGTAAGACTCTGATCTGTTCTAATGTCATGAATGTCTTCTCTTTAGGGTGACTTAACCCTTTGGAGACTAACCTGAACTCTCCAGTGTCAGCTGGTGACAAACTGGAATTGCAGTGTCTGCTGCAGCAATCTTCCAGGTATGTCTTTTCTATTTTTGTGACGTATTTTTAAGTGTATCCATCAAGCTGCCACTGTTCTAATTTACTGCTAAATGTTTTATGCAATATTGATTATATTCTTTCAGTCCGGTCCAGTGTATGGAGGTGGGGTGAGGTGCGCTGCAGTGGAGTACACGCATCAACCCAGAACTCTGCATCTGCAGACTGCTGTCTTTAATGCTGGGTCCCAGGAGTTTTGGGGAATATTTTCCCATGACCATCAACAAATATTTGTATTGAGATCCTACAAGCTACATGTCATTTGGGAAACTGCTTTAGGTGAAGTGATAGGACACTATACTAACATGTTACAGAATAGACAATGGCTCATATTTCCTCATCTTGAAGGATGTATTCAATAGTTTCACCAGTTCCAGTAACTAGTAGTGTTAATGTGATCAGTTTTTTATGTACATTTTTAGTCATTAAGCAGACACTTATCCAGTGTGACTTACAGGAGCAATTAGGGTGAAGTGCCTAGCTCAAGGGCACATTGGCAGATTTTTCACCTAGTTGGCTCAGGGATTTGTGCCAATAACCTTTTGGTTACTGGCCCAATGCTCTTAACTGCTAGGTTACCAATATGATGTGTTGTGATCTCAAGTATCTTAAATAAAGCTGAAATCATAAACCGTACCCAATCCCATGTTTAAGGATATAGATCTGGTCAAATCTGCAGGGTTCATGCAGTCATGGAATGTTTTGGTGTTTTCCAGGCCTGGTAAGGTTTTGGAAAATGATCATATCTGAAAAGTAATGGACATTCCTGTTAATTTAATTTAGGTGCGGTTTTAAAATGTAATCAATCCACAGACCAGCCAGGATCAATAGTGTAGCAACAACCACAGCACAATGCTGCCACCACCATGCTTCACGTAGGGATGGTGCCAGGGTTCCTCCAGACATGACGCTTAGCTTTCAGGCCAAAGAGGTCAATCTTGGTTTCATCAGACCAGAGGATCTTGTTTCTTAGTTCGTTAAATGCCTTTTGGAAAACTCCAAGCGGGCTGTCAGTGCATTTTACTGAGGAGTGACTCTACCATAAAGGCCTGATTAGTGGAGTGCTGCAGAGATGGTTGTCCTTCTGGAAGTTTCTCCCATCTCCACAGAGGAACTCTAGAGCTCTGTCGGAGTGATCATCGGGTTCTTGGTCACCTCCCTGACGAGGGCCCTTCTCCCCGGATTGCTCAGTTTGGCCTGGTGGCCAGCTCTAGGAAGAGTCTTGGTGGTTCCAAACTTCTTCCATTTAAGAATGATGGAGGCCACTATGTTCTTGGGGACCTTCAATGCTGCAGAAATGTTTTGGCACCCTTCCCCAGATCTGTGCCTCTACACAATCCTGTCTCTGAGGTCTATGGACAATTCCTTCAACCTCATGGCTTGGTTTTTGCTGTGACGTGCACTGTCAACTGTAGGACCTTTTATATAGACAGGTGTGTGTGCCATTCCAAATCATGTCCAATCAATTGAATTCGCCACAGGTGGACTCCAAGTTGTAGAAACATCTCAAGGATGATCAGTGGAAACAGTATGCACATGAGCTCAATTTTGAGTCTCATAGCAAAGGGTCTGAATACTTACCTAAATAAGGTATTATAGTTTTTTTATGAATAATACATTTGCAAAAATTTCTAAGAACCTGTTTTCGCTTTGTCGTTATGGGGTATTGTGTGTAGATTGATGAGGGGGAAAGTTATTAAATCAATTTTAGAATAAGGCTGGAAGGTAAAATGTGGAAACAGTTAAGGGTTCTGAATACCTACCGAAAGCACTGTATCTCTCTAGGACAAGGTGACTGTTATCAATATATTCGCCTGTCGTAGCCGGAGACCCATGGGGCGGCGCACAATTGGCCTAGCGTCGTCCAGGGTAGGGGAGGGAATGGCCGGCAGGGATGTAGCTCAGTTGGTAGAGCATGGCGTTTGCAACGCCAGGGTTGTGGGTTCGATTCCCACGGGGGGGCCAGTATAAAAAGTAATGTATGCACTCACTAACTGTAAGTCGCTCTGGATAAGAGCGTCTGCTAAATAATGTAAATGTATACTTTGATGCTAATTAGCATTTTCGAATATGAGAGTAAATAGAGCCGAATATATTGATGAAAGTCACCTTGTGATTTACATGGTTATCAACGGGGTTGTGGACTCGAGTCACAAATTTTACAAATAAAATGACTTGACTTGGAGCCTCTACTCGGGAATCGACTTTGACTTGAGACTGATGACTTGAAATGAAGTGGCCAGGTTTTGTAACGTTTTGACACTCATTTTGTGGCACAGTCTACGTGGATTACGCTACACGCAGCCAGAGACCGTAGCAACAGCATCGACCTTGCGAAAAAAAAAAACTGCAACAGATTGGCTAGTGAAACGCATACGCGGCACTCTGATTGGACCAGCAAACTGTGAATCAACACAAATAATTTATTTATGAAGCTTGCATTTGGAATTTGTTGTTAAAATGAATTATTACTGTGGCGGTGACGCACCATAGGTGCGGCTCTTCACATGCGTTCTCCAAACGTTTTTTCCCTCTTGTTGAAATGCTGGCTGTTGCTTTCTCACGTTTAAATGCATAGGCCGTATGTGGTTGATCTATATTCAATCTAATACGACAATAATTGTTAGCGTTTCATCATTACATCTCGGTACCGTTTATTGCAACACGTAGACATTTCTGTTCCATGTTTGATAGGCCTACAGACACATTCGTTACCCTGCTCTGAGTGGACGCGATGTTTATAGTGCACGTGAAAGTTCGTATCACTCAAGGTAGAAGTTCTGTTTATTTAATTCAATGTATGGTTTCATTTGTTCATATTTCACGGGTTATGTCAGAGTTCCGAGTGTCTGTGTCCCATGGCTCTGTCATTCTGGTTGTGCGTAATAGGAGCGTGCGCGCCACAGTGTGCATAGAAATAGGCTACTTGGCCTGCCCTCCACGCTTTGGAGTCAGAAAGTTGAATAAGAGAAAATGATTGTTCCATGTATGCATGGTGTTGAAATATCATTAATCATCATTCAGTCTGATTAAGACTAATGTAACAATGGATGTGGAAATTGCCTTTTACATTGTAGAACCAGTGTATTGGTTCTATTTGCCAACTGGGTAATTGTATGTTTGTTTCTGGGGACCAAGTTCTGATATTATGCAGGCCTACCTGTTCGAGCTCCTGTTCAGACAGATTCGATTTGGTTTCTCAAGGGGAGGCTGTGCAGTCTTGCCCTCTACCTGTGTCCGTTCAGGTAGGACAGGTTAAGCCTGATGGAGGCTATTTATTTTGGGCTATTGCCCGTGTATATTTGGTAAATCTACTTGTATATTTTGTATGATATGGCGCTTCACCATTGGATCACCAAGACCTGTAAATAAATCTACACTGAGCACGTCAACCTGTCTTGCCTTCTGCTGATTTCATTCCCTTACGACTGCTACAAGGTCCTTATGAAAAGGGCTGTCAGGTGGCCTCAATTAATAGACAAAGATTTGTAGTTGAACAAGTTTTTTTTTTAGACTAGACAACTTGTGACTGGACTTGACTTGCTTTTAGAATGCATGACTTCGACTTGACTCGAGTCTTGACCTGTTGTACTTGGGACTCGATTTGAGACTCTGACCTTGAGACTTGCTTGTGACTCGAATAATAGTGACTTGGTCCCACCTCTGGTTATCAAAACGTCACGCCAGGGTAAGCCTACACGAAACACAAACACCGCCCTTATTTTAAGTGTTTCTAAAATTCCCTATGGGAAAAAATGAATGTAACCATTTCCTTGTTTGACCGAAAGGCCTTATGGGTATTATGAGACCTCCAATGTGGGTCCCTATTGAAAAATCTACTGTTGCCCAATCACGGACAAAGCAGCGTCTTCGGCCCCGAACTTCGGCTTGCCTACATAAAAAATGTAGTGTGCCCGAACAACCTCACTGTTGTCCAAAACGAACAAAAACGTAACAAAAGGTCATAATATATGCACGAACACCTCCAAACTGTTTCGGTTGGGAAGCATGCGGACGTCGTTAGTCGCCAGCCGAACTGAAGCATGCTGACGACAGCGCCATCACTTGCATATGTGTGTGTGAGCTGTTGCTCAAGGAGATAGATACAATCGGACATTACAGTAGCAGGTAGGCCTAGCCTATGAAATATGATAGAGAACAGACTAACTAGGTAGCCAATTCAAAACGTAGCCTCTAGTTAACTGTTTAGCTATTATTAGAATGTATTCATGTTTTCGACGTGTCCCAAACTTTCCACAGACACGCGATACAAAGGCCATACAAAGCTCATTTACTTTTGAACGATTCATTTAAACACTTATTTTCGACGAAATGAACGATTCACTTCGCCATTGTATTATTTGGGATTCGGTTCAATCGCGTTGAATTGAAATGTGAATCAAAATAATAATTTGTGAATTGCGATCAGTAATTTTAGGGGGGAAAATTGGATGTTTCTTTTGGATTATGTGGCTTGATTTGTTTTGTAGATACGTCCAGTTGATTTGGGAAGCCAATGTATTGGATATTACAACTCAATAGATGCTAGTCAACATGCAAAGTAAACACTTCAAATGTAGCTAAGATAAATATGACTCAATTAGAAAAGGTACATTTCCTTTAGAAAATTTGTGGGCTTGCTTCAACTGAATAAAAATAGTTGTAACATTTACATTTTAGTAACCTACCATACCCATTTGATCATTGATAGATTGAATGAGCAAATTATTTCAAAAGGCATAAAACGTATTTGGTTGTAATGTTGCAAGGTTTTACATCAAGGGTGGTCAACCATCTTCCAGGAGAGCTACTGGGTGTGCAGGCTTTTATTCCAGTCCCCCTCTAACAAACAACATTTTAGAAATTAGTTGCTAAATTGGACCTTGATAAACTGTCTCTGTTTGAGCAGGGCTGGATCAAAAGCCTGCACACCCAGTAGCTCTCCAGACTGAGGGTTGACCACGTTTGATACAGTTACCTAACAGGTGTTCTACTTTGTGGGGCGTTAAGTGCCTTGCACAACTACAGGAGATGGTGCTTAGTATCAGTGTCGATACCACACTACACATACTTTTGTTTGTTTTATTTATGTTCAACAACTATTTTCTTCACTAAACCAAAAACATGAACATTGACAAATGATTTACAGCTCATGTTTATTTTGGCAAACAAACATGAAAATGGACAAATTATTAACAGCTCATTTTGGCAAACTTAACACCATGTTACATATCTTATACAGCTGTGCAAACTTCCTCAAGGTTTAGAACCTTGCGGGTCAATCTGACTGGTTTTCTGAGATTATTAATATACAGAAAGCTTTACTTCCTTGTTACACTAAGAAAGAGATATCTGCTACATATCCTCATTACAAATAAGGCATCCTTCTTCTCTCAGTAGATAACCTCAAGGATGAAGGAAGGATAGGCCTACACTTCTAAATATTTGAACAGGGCTTAGTTCAAACCCTTGAAAAACAGCGCATCTGTTTGTTTACCCCAGCTCAACCAGACAGTCTGTGCCATGGTAGTCTGGCGCATTGAGCTTATACTTCCTCTGGATGTCATAGGGCAGGGTGCGTCCCACCAGGTAATGTGTCCCACTGAAACCGACGGCACACTTCTTTGGTGCCATGAGGGAGATGAGCGCTGTCGGGTTTATACAGTCGACGTTGGCCCCTTCCTCCTCGTCCCACCCTGAAATCACACAGATGAGGTCATCAATTAATTTATCCAACATTATCATATGATTTTAGAGTTTATCTGATACTGGCAGTAAAATAACACATCACGGCATCATCAGACAAGTCCATGGTATCAGTCCAACCCTATAACACTACACTTGGATAGGTTTTTAGCCCCTGGTAACCCTGCAGGTAGATGCTGTCAGCCAGGTGTGTGTAGGTTTGGTGTGGTCACCTGAGGGGATGTCCACGCTGGCGATGGGGATACGGATGTGTCTGAGGGTGAGCAGGATGCTGCTGTAGGGCTCACTGATATCAGACGGCTCCGTCTCCGGCCCCATGATGGCATCCACCACCAGGTTATACGCATTGTTTATCAGCTGCACCTGTAGGAAAAGACAAACACATGTCAGTCAGACCACTAACCAGTAGAATGGCATTCACCATTCACACAAAACCGTTGTGTGAACATTCCACATTTTAGAGTGTCTCGTTTCTTTTTCCAATATCATGGCGGCCAGACGGCCACAATATACAAATGAACCTTGGTTAGCGTTGGTTGATTCATAGTAGTTCCCTTACCTCTGCGGGGAGATATGAGAGGAAAGGGATGTCTGTTTTCTCACACTGTACTGTAAAGTCCTGGTGCAGGGCCAGAGTAGAGCGCTTGGGGTAGTACACCGTGGGCATATAGTCCTGACAGAGATAGGTGGAAGGGAAGAGAGACTGGGTGTCAAGGAAGTGCCATTTAGTTAGTTCCAAAAATCAAATGCAGTGCGCTGGCAGGTTACTCACAAACATACGTAAGTGGCGGGCGCAGGCCAGACCAATACAGCCGTTCTGACTGGGACCACAGATCACCAACACTGTAGGATGCCTCTTGAGGGAACTCAGGGGGAAGCCCTTCACACAGGGAAAGAGAAGTTGTATATCATGTCATTCGATTGCCTAACTCAAAACTACCCTTAAGGTAAGAAAAAGAGAGCACAGACCTTGGTGATAGCGATGGCACAGGCATGGCCCCAGATCTCCATCAGCTGCTGCGGTCCAAAGCCATACTCTCCCAGCAACTCTGCCTCCAAGGCTGCAGCCTCCTCATTACTGAGGGAGAAAGAGAGAGAGATCAGGAGAAACAGATGGAGAGATAGAGAGAGAACACTTAAGTGTCCTTTAAGAGGTAAAACTCTGAGTGGGGGTGGTATAATATCACTGCTGTCTAATCAATGGCCACCCCGTGTGAGATCAGGAAGTAAGGAGCTGAACTTTCAGGGAATCCTGCTCTAATACACAGCATATATATCCATAATGAATGAGTGATTCTGGGGGGTATCTAGCACTGCCTCTTTGCCTCAGATTGGAAGCCTGTGGTGGGTAGGGGAAACAAGGGGGAGTGGGGGGCTGGACTGCTGCAACTGGTTTCTTCCTCTTTTCTGTTCCTTGTCTCTGATGTTGCACTAAACTTGCTCTTTTAGGTATTCTGTGAGAAAAAATATACTTTGTAAATACTACACTGAAGAAAAATATAAACGCAACATGCAACAATTAAAAAGATTTTACTGAGTTCATATAAGGAAATCAGTCAATTGAAATAAATTAATTAGGCCCTAATCTATGGATTTCACCTGACTGGAAATACAGAAATGCATCTGTTGGTCACAGATAGCTTAAAAAAAAAAAAGTAGGGGCGTTGATCAGAAAACCAGTCAGTATCTCATGCAGTGCAACACATTTCTTTCGCATAGAGTTGATCAGGCTGTTGAATGTTGTCCCACTCCTCTACAATGGCTGGGCGAAGTTGCTGGATATTGGCGGGAACTGGAACATGCTGTCGTACACTTCTATCCAGAGCATCCCAAACATGCTCAATGGGTGACATGAAGGGTGAGTATGCAGGCCATGGAAGAACTGGGACATTTTCAGCTTCCAGGAATTGTGTACAGATCCTTGCGACATGGGGCTGTGCATTATGAAACATGCTGAAACATGAGGTGATGGCGGCGGATGAATGGCACGACAATGGGCCTCAGGATCATGGTATCTCTGTGCATTCAAATTGCCATTGATAAAATGCAATTGTGTTCGATGTCTGTAGTTTATGCCTGCCCATACCATAACCCCACCACCATGGGGCACTCTGTTCATAACGTTAACATCAGCAAACCGCTTGCCCACACGATGCCATACACGCTGTCTGCCATCTGCCCGGTACAGTTGAAACCGGGATTCATCCGTGAAGTCGGTTACGACGCCGAACTGCAGTCAGGTCAAGACCCTGGTGAGGATGACGAGCACGCAGATGAGCTTCCCTGCGACGGTTTCTGACAGTTTGTGCAGAAATTCTTCGGTTGTGCAAACCCACAGTTTCATCAGCGGTCCAGGTGGCTGGTCTCAGACGATCCCGCAGGTGAAGAAGCCAGATGTGGAGTGGGCTGGCGTGGTTAGACGTGGTCTGCGGTTGTGAGGCCGGTTGGACGTACTGCCAAAATCTCTAAAATGACGTTTGAGGAGGCTTATGGTAGAGAAATGAACATTACATTCTCTGGCAACAGCTCTGGTGGACCTTCCTGCAGTCAGCATGCCAATTGCACTCTCCGTCAAAACTTGAGACATCTGCACATTTTAGAGTGGCCTTTTATTGTCCCAGCACAAGCTGCACCTGTGTAATGATCATGCTGTTTAATCAGCGTCTTGATATGCCACACCTGTCAGGTGGATGGATTATCTTGGCAAAGGAGAAATGCTCACTAACAGGGATGTAAACACATTTGTGCACCAAATTTGAGAGAGAAGCTTTTAGTATTTATGGAACATTTCTGGAATCTTGTATTTCAGCTCATGAAACATAGGACCAACACTTTACATGTTGCGTTTATATTTTTGTTCAGTATACTACATTTTTATTAGATTGGTCTGATTTAAAAGAGCACATCTAAAAGCAGGTAAAGACCTCCCAATCCCTTTCCTAATCCCTATGGGGCCACAATAATCCTCCAAAATGTCACATAGTGGGATTATTCATAACATACCACCACAATCAACCTAACACATTTCTCAGTCACAATTTCTGGAATGTAGAATATTAACATAATATAAGAAACATATTTTCTCACATTCCTGTTGCAAGTATTTGAGAGATTAAGAGCAAATCATACAAATAGGTAAACACGTTAAGACTTTTTGTGGGACAAAGTAGATGGGTTTCCTAAAACACTACTCATGAAAAAACAATCACCCATTGACAACAATGCCTTAAAAATGAGTGAGTGAGTGTGACAGTGTTCATTCTCACCTGAGGTAGCGGAGAGGCTCTCTGGGTGTTTCTAGGTTAGAACAGCTGTAGTCCATCTTCAGAATGTGTGATGGGGGGAGCAAATTGTAACTCTGGAGCAAATTGGTATTTTGTCTAGCTCCCTTCTCTTAGTCTCTCGTCTCTCAAACTCACAGTGATGCACACATCCTGTCTGAGTGTTAATGCCCTTCCAGGACTTACCGTGGGTGAATCTGATTGGTTCAAAGTCAACAGCTCAGTCCAACTAAAGCAAGGGGTAACACACACACACAAACAAACAGCTGGAAAGCAAAGCAGCTGGGAGGGGTGTGTGGGTGTGTGTCAGATGCAGGGACTTAGTTACCAATCTTCGAGCCCCCACTGATGAACTGAACAGATAATCACAGCATTGATGCCTCTCACTCCTTTATCTGCACGTACATAATGAAGCAGTGTTTCCAACAGAAGACAGAGGTACGTCATCTGGAGACAGCGAGACGTTGAAAATAACTGAAGGAAAGGGCAAGTCACGGTTTTCATTCTTTCAGTGTGAATGTTGAACATAGTCTGGGTGCAGTGACCAGTGCTGGCCGCTTTCTTTGTTGAATGGGACAAAATTTAGGGGAAACATGAGCAGATCTAGGATAATCTTATCCTGCCCCAATCTTAACCATAAGGAAATAACATGCACAAATGACCTTAGATCAGAGATTCTCCTCCACATGACAGAGTCGGTTCTACACAACACAGTTCTATCTTGCGGCTGGGCATTCTATTATATTGTGCCCTCCTGAATAAGCATGGAGATGGTCCATGCCTCTACTGGCCGCTGCCCAGTCAGGCCTCCTGTTGTTACAGGTGCCAGCACAATGAGGAGCAGCTGCTTAACACACAGGGTGCTTTACCCAACACACACACACTTCCACACCTTAATATTCTTTACACAACAATGACTGAATAGCAGGCTAAATTGGAAACACGTTTATTTGGTTGAAATTCCCCAAAAAGGCTCAAAGGAGTCTGAAGAGAAGCCAATGTCTGGCACCGCTCAACAGAATCACTCCGCCCATGTGGGCTGGAAGGCAGTGTGTGGGGCTGCACAGACACCCATTGTTAATAAAGGCAATTTACACATTGCCCGAAATACAAAATGTTTTCCTTTTCTATTGCTGGGTCTTCCTCCATGTGGTTATGTGCTTTGAAGATGTGCTTAAATGTTGGATAGACACTATCATTGTTATGCAAATGATTTGCGCCGAGGTAAAAACAACAATTGCTTGAACCTGATGACACAACCATATGTAGGATATCGAACAGAATACATTCAAGATCCTGTTTAACCTGTAATATGCCTTCAGTAATTATATAAAACAGACAGAGAACCAGTATGGGATACAGAAAATAACACTTTAATATAGAACATTTACAAGCTGTGTTGAGTTGTGGACTCAGGTTAACAGGGTAGTGGCTGTGGCTGGTATAGTAGCCGAGGTTTACTGTAGTGACACGGTTGGACTGCGGGGCGTCTACACGTACCACAGGAAGCCAAAGCGCTTGTGTAGAAGCTCTTCCCGGGGTCGAAGGTTAAACAGCTCCTCTGTGAGGGGGGCCACCCAGCGTTCTGTGTGGAAGACATTCTCGCCCACCTAAATACATACAAACGAGGAGCTTAGTATTCATCACTGTAGAACGAGCAGCATTGCAGAGTTATTTGCTTCCATTTTAGTGCTTATTCTAGAACATTTAGAAAAACAACCATCTGCAGCTTCATAACAATTGACAAATAAAACAAACATCTGTCTGTCTAGACTGAAATGAAACCAAGCGTCTGTCTTTACCTTCCAGCCGGGGACATCTTTCATTACGACTGCTTCCTCCTCCAGATTCTCCCGCAGCATCCGTAGTTGCCTAGTGGGAAAACAAATTCAGAGTTCCTAAAACAACGGATTATTCATGGACAAAATTGGTAAATCACCTTTACCCCGGTTGAAGTAGCATTTGATTGTGTGTGTGTCAATGTTGGTGCTTATCTTACCTCCGGTCCTGCTCTGCTTGCAGCAAAGGCAGAAGAGCTATCCTTGCTTCCAGCTCCTCAATCTGCAACCGCCTACAACACACCATCAGAAAATATCAGCAGGTCATTAACCAACAATAAATCCATCTCAATGATATGAATTGGTACAATGAATCAATGACAGTGACATTAACTCCATTGTGGCAATTCTTACCTCCGCTCCCTGTTCCACTTGAAGAGTCTCCAATAACCGAAACACATGACACCGACTCCAATGGCGAGCATGCTATACCCTGAAAATGAGAATATTCACTGTCAGCAATTTATATCAGCAAGATAATAATCTCCAAACCCTGTCTGTGCTACACATATAATTACGTAATTGAATTGTATCTTTGTGGTGCTACGTCGGTCGTCATTTGTGAAGAAAATACAGTACTGGGATAACAAACAGGGGAACAACTTTTTTTTGTTTTACAATAAACAATATCACACAAATGATTAAACTTGGCAAGATATTAGCTAGCTAGCTAGCTAGCGTCCCTTGTTTCACAGGTCTGACTATAAACCGATCTACTCAGAACTTTTAAACTTAACGCAATACAAATGTAATTAGTATACTAACCAGAGAGTCCCCTTTTCGGGAGATTTCTCTTGTAATCAACGGGACCATAACCTCCCGGAGGAGGCATGTCCTGCTTCACCTTGGACGCCGCCATCTTCCACCCCTTCCCCAAAACAGACCCGAGCGTGACGTCATAACTTGTTCTGCTTCTTCTAGCGTGACAGCAGCGGGAGCTGAAACTGAGCTGAATGGACTCTATCGCCTCCAGCCGAATCAGATCAAAAGTGCCGTGGAAAATCAAGTCTTGTAAAAAAAATCATGCTATGATTGGCATAATCAATAATTTAATGACACATTCAGACCAAATAAAATGGTTAAAATGACGTGTATTTTTATTATTACTTTCTGAAGCTGGGAAAAATTTTACCAAACAAATTGGAACATCAGTTTGTATTATGCATAAAGGGATGAGAGGGTTAAGCTTGACAGTTAACAGCCCAAGCTACCCGAATGATGGCATCTGAAAATAATCTCAAACAATTTTGACAACCCATATGTTAATTATTTTATAAACCACAGATGGCCTATGGAACTTTTACAGAAGTAGAAAACAAAACAAAACTGAAAAGGGAGTATGAGACTATATGGGGGGCCAGTATGAAAAATGTATGTACTCACTAACTGTAAGTCGCTCTGGATAAGAGCGTCTGCTAAATGACTAAAATGTAAAATGTAAATGTACTTGAGGAAGTGTTGTCAATCCAGTTACCTCACCACAGGCCTGTCTGGGATACAAGTTATTGGTCCTGAGTACCCTGTAGCTCAGTTGGTAGAGCATGGTGTTTGCAATGCCAGGGTTGTTGGTTCGATTCCCATGGGGGGCCAGTATGAAAATGTATGCACTCACTGTAAGTCGCTCTGGATAAGAGCGTCTGCTAAATGACTAAAAATGTAAATGATGCCAACCCCCAAAAATTAACGAGTGATTTCAATATTAGACATGTCTATTCTCTCCTCAGTCTTTTGTACATCTCAAATTTGTTAAAATTCACCAAAAGGTTGCTTTAACTAACCCAGCTTCAACATGTGGCAACCAGAAACCTAAACTTGAGATGTCCCAGAGCATGTGACAATACCTGCAGTCGCTTTTCTTTCATCCCCAGATGAGAACATTTTGTAACATGACTTGTGTCATGATTGATACAGTAGGTTTGAGCATATTAAACCAATTGAAATATTATCCATATTCAACTACTTTCTCCAGACGAATTCAAAAAGTGTAATGATTCTTGATAACTCTTCACTTTTTCAGCAAACATATGGAAACTTTGATCAATGATAAAAAAACAACTTTAAAAACAATTCACTGAATTATCAGGGAAATCGACAATCAGTGTAAAACATATAGAACAGATGTAAATCGGAACACATCTGTGATATGACTCTTGTGATTCTAGAATCTTATGTCTTCCACGGAAACTGTTTGCATGTAATTCAAGACAGACTGTATTATACTATTGGTTCTCTTTACAGACATGTTATTACTAATATTACGGGACAACCTGGAATTGAATAATAGAAAACCAAAGCAGAGGCTACAGACAAAAATATAATATAGAGATCCTCTACTTGTTCTGCTTATGTGAAACATGAGTGTGGAGCAGCTCTGTCAAACTGCAAATACAGATGTAGGATCTTAATTTGAGCCAGTCTCCTACAGAAAGAAAATAATCCTGCAGCAACAGGAAATTTGAATTATTATATGGATTGTAATTAATGGACATTTTTGTAACGGTTGATACATTGGTCGTAAGGGAAAATCAAGTCTGAAATTAAACTTTAGAAGCTTTTTTAAATGTCAAATATGCTACAAGTTTTAAATGTCCTGTGTTGTAAGAAAGTTATCCTGCAACAGGGTGATCAAATGAAGATACTGTATCTGTAGATTAATAACATACATGGGGGGGGGGGATTCACACAAAAAAAAAATGTATGAGGCTAGAATAAATTGTTCAGTTGTTAAAACCACAACATCATGACAGGAATTTTTCATGTATACATCAGTCCCCCAAAATAACCAATAACTTACTGTAAATACAAACAAATTCCAAATCAACTGTTACTGAGGTTATGCACTGAAAACATCACTGCTCAGTTTCTTTTAACTTAAAGAGAATGTTTATTGGAGATCATATTTTTTGTCTTATATCTTTTTTAGGGTACTCTTGAATATGAAGTAAACAGTTCCAAGTAATTTCACCTTGACCACACCCCAACAGTTTGTCTGCATCCCATTCGCTGAGTCTAAGATGACAGAGGGCCAAGCGGCTCCTAGTTCTGTCCAATAGGTAAAGAGCTGTCCATCGTTTCCATGGTCGGCAGAACGCCAACTTATGTTCTTGAGAGAAAAGCAACATTCTCAAGCCATCATAAACTCACAGACATCATGGCTGACGAACATATGGAAGGAAGCCCTTTACGCAGTTCTTTTTTTGCTCCGGTGTAAATTGCTGTTTATGCACACTGATCAAACATCGGTGAGCCTCATGAGAAACAATAGACTTGAAAGACAACATAAGAGAAACAAAAACACTAGCACATTTTTTTCTTGAGAATGCTTCTCCTCAAAGGTTTGGAGGCTGCGCGTTTCCATAACTGTCCTCACGGGGGGGAGGGGCTGTATTGTTGGCATTGACAACAGTAGCTAATGGTTATTGATAATGGTAATGAATGAGATGATTATTTCCATGTGTTAGCTGTCTGGGAGATGGGGCGCGAGGGGATCATGTCCAGGAGGTACTCTCTCTGACGGGCGTCCACTGTGGACGAGGTCTTATGGACTGGCAGACTGGGGTTCACGTAGGCCATGGTCACACCTGCAGAGAGAGAGGGGAGAGGTCAGTCTCTGACCAGGAGAGTACACTGAGCATAATGACACACACAGGCGCACAAAACCACACTCACGCGTAAATAACATTCATCTCAAAGCAGGGAAAACATGGACTAACTCTACTCTAGGGGGAGGTGAGGAGAGCTAGTCATGGAGTCCAAGGAGAACCCCAGCCACCAGAAGGACTGAAGCAGTAAGGAGACAGAGCATTGAGGGGTATAGAGGGAGAATCTCAATTGCATACTCCTTGCATCCTCTCTTCTCGCCTCCTTCTCAAAACCCATTGGATGAGAAAGCCAGAGGTACCTCCCCTCTGACCTTCTCCTCCAATGGGTTTTGAGGAGGCGAGGAGAGAGGATGCAAGGAGTATGCAATTGAGATTCTCCCTCTATACCCCTCAATGCTCTGTCTCCTTACTGCTTCAGTCCTTCTGGTGGCTGGGGTTCTCCTTGGACTCCATGACTAGCTCTCCTCACCTCCCCCTATTGAGATTCTCCCACAGAGAAGTGAGATGCCTAGTCCAAAAACAATCCCTATCCCCTTGGCTTAGGTGTAAACATTATGGTGATGACTCCACCTAGGAAGCTCCAGTAGGTTTAGACGAGCTTCGGCCATTTTGCTTACACCTATCCGTTTCCCTCAGATCAGCAAACACCCAAAGGGAAGCACAAAGTTGAGTGTGTAGAGGTAGAGGCTGGGGGGCAGTGTGGTGTGGTGGGTTGGTTGGTTGGGGGCCCGGTCGGTATTAGAGTCTACCTGTGTTGATGTTGTTCTGCTTCCTCCATGCAGTGGCTTGGGCTCTGCTGCTGTTCCCACTGGAGCTGCCCTTAGAACCCTGGGCAGCGGGGCGCACAGGGGCATGCTTACCTGGCCGGCTGACCAAGGCCGCAGCAGCCACGGCGCTCTGCAGCTGAGAGGAGGAGGAGGAGAAGGAGTGGGACACGCCCCTCGCCCCCACCGACGGGACACCGCCACGGGAGACCTGGCCCTGAGGGCTCTGGGGAGAGGGAGAAAGAAGATATAGAATATTGAGTGACAAGAACAGACCACACAAGCCAAGGGAACCATACTGTATGTATGTACGATCATCTTATAACCGTCTGTATCTAATTGATGGAGTGGCTCTGGTGGTGATATGACAGTTTCAGGGAACTGTTGAGAAGTGTGACACCCCTACCTGTTTTATGTTGGAGTGGTGGCGTGCGATGCTATGTCCTCTGTTCTGCTGCTGGTGATGGTGAAGGTGCTGGTGCTGCAGAGACGAGGCCCTGGCCTGGGCCTGAACCTGCTTCAGCTGCTGGGACATCACCGATGGAGAAGAGGATGAGGAGGAGGAAGAGGAGGAGGGGGTGTGAGAGACAGGGGAGGCGGCCTGCTGGAGGATCCGCTGCTCTATCTCCTGCTCCTGCTGCAGGGCCTTGACGAACGCAGCCTTCAGCCTATTGGTGTGCTCAGCCTTCAGGGCTTTCTTCTGATTGGAGGACATGCAGTCAGCACAGAGGATGGTCCCACCCTTGGCCTTGTCCTGTCTCCAGCGGCAGGTAAAGTCGGTGCTGCACTGGATGCAGGTGAAGGGCTCTTTGATGGCAGGCTTGTCCGGGGGCATACCTGTTTTAGCTGGGGAGGACAGACAGGATGAGTGGGATTAGACAGAGAACAGAAGAACACTGGTTTCAATATAAAGCCTAATGATCAAATACTGCTGGAGGAAACCCATCTGAGCAGTATTGTGATGTTAGGGTATGCCCTCTGTGAGGTGATATTACTGTGTAATGAAGTGTCTGTAAGTGTAAAATACGTGTTTATGTAACTTTGCTGATGGAATGCTGTAATGTAACAGTGTTCATACCAGCAAAATATTTTGTACCGCTGGTGATGGTTTAGTAGTGATATACAGTGTTTATAACAGTGTAGTGTGCTTGTTTATAACAGTGTAGTGTGCTTGTTTATAACAGTGTAGTGTGCTTGTTTATAACAGTGTAGTGTGCTTGTTTATAACAGTGTAGTGTGCTTGTTTATAACAGTGTAGTGTGTTTGCACCTCGGACACCCTTTAACGCTGGTATTAACTCTATATCACCCTATACCAGGGTTTCCTAACCCTCTCCTCGGGGCCCCCCCAGATGTTTCACATTTTTGTTTTAACGCTAAAAATTGGCACACCCATTTCAATTTAGTCAAAGGCTTGATGATTAGTTGACTAATATAAATCAGGTGTGCCAGATTAGGGTTAAAAATAAACTGTGAAACGTCTGGGGGGGACCAGAGGAGAGGGTTGGGAAACCATGGTATTGGGTAATGTAGAGTTAATACCAGTGTAATAGGTCTTGTACCTCTCATCATGGAGTCCAGCAGGTTCTGCACCACGTCCTCCAGACCCACCAGGTAGATGAACTCGTTGTTGGCCGCCGAGGGCAGGAAGTTGAGCTCTGGGGCGAGAGGTTTGGGAGGAGGGATCTCCAGAAGGGTCTTCTCCAGCTGTTTACGCAGGGCGAGCTTAGCCGCAGCCTGACGGGCGGCAGGAGAGTCGTTCACGTTGACCACAGACACACTGCTGTTTCCAGACTGGGAGGTGATAGAAGAACCCTTCATGTTGGTTGTGGAGGCCTGGGAGAGAGTGGGATGAGGGAGAAAGAAGGGGGTAGGAGGGAAGGAATAGTGAAATAGAGGAGACAAGTGTGGAAAGAAGGTGTCCAAGTGAGGTTTGAAGTCAAGAAAATACTGCATGTCAGATCAGATTAATCAAAACTGTTGCAAATTCAGGTCTATCCTCTAGATCAGGGCTGCCTAACCCTCTTCCTGGAGAGCTACTGTCCTATAGGTTTTCAGTCCAACCCTAATTGATCATATCTGATTCAGCTAGTTAAGGTCTTGTTGAGCAGCTAATAAGTAGAATCAGATGTGTTAAATTAGGGTTGGACTGAAAACCCACAGGACGGTAGATCTCCAGGAAGAGGGTTGGGCAGCCCTGGATCTAGAGGAAGCTAAGCTTGAGTGATTCAATAAACCCAATGTGTGAATGCAATTGGATTGATTGAATCAAATCTGCAAGTCACAATTGCACCACTATGATTCTCTAGCCTCGAGGGGAGAACCTCATCTCTACTGTCTGCACATGCCTGAAGCTAGAGATTATGCAAAAGCGCTAGCTACTTAGCTGGCTCCAGTTCGTATGCACACTGTAGAGGGAAGGCCAGAAAAGATGCAACAGTCTTGAGTTGTTTGCTAGCTAATGGACTAAACTCCAATCCATACTAGCTAGCTAGCTGGCTAATTAGAAATTGCTAAAAGTATGCATGCAAAAAGTTATTGCGTGCAATATGTTGACACCATACATTTGTACATTTGTGATTGCTAAGAATACAAATAAGATTATTTATTGATAGCTTTGGAAAGATGTCTAATGGCGGCCGCAACCGGACTAGATTGTGAACGACTCTTGGCGGAATGCTCTCGGCTTGACTGCTGCGAGAGAGAGATTAGCACAATATGCAAACTGCAGCAGCCACCCAAACGAATAGTTTGAGTTTAAGTGCCGAGTAGAGGCATGTGTTTGTTTTGGTTCTACAAAGCTGTGACCATCGAGAACATTAAATAATCAATTATTTTTTCAGGAGGGGAGTTTAGGCTAAATGCAGCTATTTACATGTTGTACACAAAAGACATGAATTTTTTATTTTTTTTGCAGACGCTCTTATCCAGAGCGACTTACAGTTTTGAGTGCATATATTATTTTTTTTATTTTTCATACCCCCTGTGGGAATCGAATCCACAACCCTGGCGTTGCAAACGCCATGCTCTACCAACTGAGCTACATCCCTGCCAGCCATTCCCTCCCCTACCCTGGATGACGCTGGGCCAATTGTGCGCCGCCCCATGGGGTCTCCCGGTCGCGGCCGGCTACGACAGAGCCTGGATTCGAACCAGGATCTCTAGTGGCACAGCTAGCACTGCAATGCAGTGCCTTAGACCACTGCGCCACTCGGGAGGATTGACATGTTCGTACAAACTTTGTTGCCTGTTGTAACAGTGTTGCAAAAATAAGCACAACACACAGGAGGTCTAGCGATTCCATGTTCTTCTTAGCTGCTGAGTTACATGCAGTTATTTAGGCAAGCATATCCAACACAAGCAAGACATAAACAGGCAGTCAAAGTAGTAGTGTTATTTTTTCAGGAACTCTGGCTGATGGCTACAATATGGCAGCATCTAGTGGCTTGCGAAAGTATTCACCCCCCTTGGCATTTTTCCTATTTTGTTGCCTCACAACCTGGAATTAAAATTGATTTTGTATCATTTGATTTACACAACATGCCTACCACTTTGAAGATGCAACATATTTTTTATTGTGAAACAAACAAGAAATAAGACAAAAAAAACAGAAAACTTGAGCGTGCATAACTATTCACCCCCCCAAAGTCAATACTTTGTAGAGCCACCTTTTGCAGCAATTACAGCTGCAAGTCTCTTGGGGTATGTCTCTATAAGCTTGGCAGATCTAGCCACTGGGATTTTTGCCCATTCTTCAAGGCAAAACTGCTCCAGCTCTTTCAAGTTGGATGGGTTCCGCTGGTGTACAGCAATCTTTAAGTCATACCACAGATTCTCAATTGGATTGAGGTCTGGGCTTTGACTAGGCCATTCCAAGACATTTAAATGTTTCCCCTTAAACCATTCAAGTGTTGCTTTAGCAGTATGCTTAGGGTCATTGTCCTGCTGAAAGGTGAACCTCAAATCTCTGGAAGACTGAAACAGGTTTCCCTCAAGAATTTCCCTGTATTTAGCGCCATCCATCATTCCTTCAATTCTGACCAGTTTCCCAGTCCCTGCCGATGAAAAACATCCCCACAGCATGATGCTGCTGCCACCACCATGCTTCACTGTGGGGATGGTGTTCTCGGGGTGATGGGTTTGCGCCAGACATAGCGTTTTCCTTGATGGCCAAAAAGCTCAATTTTAGTCTCATCTGATCAGAGTACCTTCTTCCATATGTTTGGTGAGTCTCCCACATGCCTTTTGGTGAACACCAAACGTGTTTCCTTTTTTTTTTCTTTAAGCAATGTCTTTTTTCTGGGCACTCTTCCATAAAGCCCAGCTCTGTGGAGTGTACGGCTTAAAGTGGTCCTATGGAAAGATACTCCAATCTCCGCAGTGGAGCTTTGCAGCTCCTTCAGGGTTATCTTTGGTCTCTTTGTTGCCTCTGATTAATGCCCTCCTTGCTTGGTCCGTGAGTTTTAGTGGGCGGCCCTCTCTTGGCAGGTTTGTTGTGGAGCCATATTCTTTCCATTTTTAAATAATGGATATAATGGTGCTCCGTGGGATGTTCAAAGTTTCAGATATTTTTTTATAACCCAACCCTGATTCTCCACAACTTTGTCTCTGACCTGTTTGGAGAGCTCCTTGGTCTTCATGGTGCCACTTGCTTGGTGGTGCCCCTTGCTTAGTGGTGTTGCAGACTCTGGGGCCTTTCAGAACAGGTGTATATATACTGAGATCATGTGACAGATCATGTGACACTTAGACTGCACACAGGTGGACTTTATTTAACTAATTATGTGACTTCTGAAGGTAATTGGTTGCACCAGATCTTATTTAGGGGCTTCATAGCAAAGGGGGTGAATACATATGCACGCACCACTTTTCCGTTACTTATTTTTTAGATTTTTTGAAACAAGTTATTTTTTTCATTTCACTTCACCAATTTTGACTATTTTGTGTATGTCCATTACATGAAATCCAAATAAAAATCTATTTAAATTACAGGTTGTATTGCAACAAAATAGGAAAAACGCCAAGGGGGATGAATACTTTTGCAAGGCACTGTATAAAGATTATCCTACATCACAAAACGCTGATTGTTTTTGTGTGCCGAACGTGATCTGGATCCTTAGCTTTGAGAAAGAGGTTTCCGGAGGGGCGGAGTCGAAAACTCCTATTCGCAGCCACTGCCATAAGTTAATAGACCAATCACAAAGAGAGTTCCAAACCTGCCAATACCCTGTGCAAGTGACGCGTTCCTACGTCATACTTCCGCATTCATGTAATAATAATAATAATAATAATAATAAACCATTTAGCAGACGCTTTTATCCAAAGCGACTTACAGTCATGTGCGCATACATTTTTACATATGGGTGGTCCCGGGGATCGAACCCACTACCCTGGCGTTACAAGTGCTATGCTCTACCAATTGAGCTACAGAGGACCACAAGACTGAAACAGGTTTCCCTCAAGAATGTCCCTGGTCTTTTGAATGGGCTTGACGATTATATCATCAAATTCATGAAAATGCGGTCATATAAGATTTATAAAAAATTATATTTGTGTTTGTGGATGAATTTACTTCTGCTAGATGCATTTCATTAAGTTTTTGCGCTGAAAACCATTGTGATACGTTTTTGCCCATTGAAGTCCATTCAAAAAGCCTACAGAATTCTCTAACTATAAGGCTACCTGCCGTGTTATTTGCATAGCGCATAACAGCTAATTTCAGGTTACATATCCCTCCCATTAGGCCCCTACGTACTGGTGGATTGATCCACACCACAGATAAAAAGAGGAAACCCAGATACTTCACAGGGGGTATAAATCTGAAGCATCCATTTAGAACTTCCACTCACCACCAAATATGGTGATGAGAGGAAGTCCATTGGCGGGCAGAGGGAGGAGATGGAGCTAGATGGGCCGACATTCTGCTGATTTTCTCATCGATGAAAAATCCGATCTCAATACAGTTTCCTGTTCCCAAAAGTAGAATATTTGTTTTACAAAAATTTTTATTGCATTGTTTAGAAGGAGCGCAAGGCCAAATTGAGTTCTTGCACGCAAAGAGTTGACGTTCCCTAACGGAAATATGCAATTAAATGCTAAGACACACCAATAGGATCGAGCTAGTTCGTGCTTGGCTCTGCCCAACTCCTTGCTTGTTCTGCCCACTGTGCTTCATTTGCTCCCATTGGAAAAGACACAGATGAACTATCTTAGGTTAGTTCTATAATCTTTGTCCACACTGTGGTTCTTGCAACGCTTTGGTGCTCTCCCTCTCACCTCTCAGACCAATCCCAGACAGTCATAGCTAAATTATTCCTTGAGAAATAGTTGTTGTTTATTTTTGACCATTTTAATGGAAAACTATTGCAGTAAGTGACTTAATTGTTACCCAGAAATGATAAACCTCTGACCCACCTGTGAGATGTTGACCAGCAGGCTGGCGTTGTTGACGTTGCCCACCCTGATGAGGCCTGACTGCATGAGGCCTCTCTGGGCCTGAGAGCCGGGTACGTTGGCCCTGGGGGCCAGCAGCAGAGGAGGGGGGCCAGAGCCCCCTGAGACAGACCCTGACAGCTGCTGTTGCTGCTGCTGCCGGAGAGACTGGATCTGCTGGGGAGACACAGCGATTGGCTACCCGGGACACACATGGGGGACAGGGGAGAGAGTGGACAGAGGAGGAGAAGAGGGCAGGGCAGGGATAGAGGGGGCCAACATAGGTCAGACAGAGGACATATAGGAAAGGACAAGGGACAGTCAACAGAGCACAGAACAATTATAGGGACAAAGCAGTAATATGTGGAGGAGGGTGGAGAGATAGGGAGGGGAATGGGACACAGAGACAGAGAGAGAGAGAAAAGAAAACAGGTGAGCATAGTCTAAGACACAAAACTCAGTCAGTTTGAGTATTGATATCAGCTGATGACCAGTTTGGCAGGTAGATTGTGGCCTGTCTTACCAGTGCCCCTCTGACCAGGGGTGGCATGATGATCTGGGAGTTGTGGGAGCCATGTTTGGAGGAGATCTGCTGCCCACCCCTCACCAGAGGAGGAGGAATGACTGTGCCCAAACTCCTACCTGACACCACCTTGGGATGAAATGAAATGATGCAATAAACAGAAACATGGTTAACATGATAAACTTGTTTGTGAATTAAAGCTTGTTTGTGTGAGACAGGTGACTGACCTGCTGGGAGCCTTTACTGGCTGTGATGGATCCCCGGATCAGAGATGGTGGAGCCGCAGAACCCGACAATCCTGAAGGCTGTGGAACAAGACAGAGATGGAGAGAATGAGTTGTGTATGTGTTTGTGTGTGTCTATTGGTAAGTGTGCGGAGTTATGCATCTGGGTGAATGTATTTGTGTTGGCCTGTGTGGCTTTGTCTGTATTTGTGTATATGGGTTTGTCTGTATCAGTGTCTGTATCAGTGTCTGTATCAGTGTCTGTATCAGTGTCTGTGTCTGTGAGAGACTGGGATCTGAACTCCAGTCTTCCGCTCTGGGAAACCAAATTCCCTCCTGGGCGAGGGGGACACTGATTTTAAGTGGCAGCCAGGGCTACCTCATCGCGACAGAGTGAGTCCAGCTCACCTTGGCTACATGTGTCCATACCTTCTGCAACGCATCCTTCTGTATCTGGCTCTGGCGTAGTTTCTTCAGCAGCACCAGCTTGGCCTCCTCCAGTCTCAGCTCCTCCTTCAACTGTTTGATGATGCGATCCCTCTCCTCTGGCCTGCTCTTCTACACAGACAACAGATAAAGACCAGTTAGACCAAAGAGAAAGACCAGTGCAGCATAAAGAGATCAGAGCTTCAATCCACAAAGCGTAGGAGTGCTGATCTAGGATCAGAAGACCATAGAAAGAGACTGGTATGAGGAACATCATGGGAGGGTCAGAGAAAGTATGGTATAGCTCTTTCACTAACCATGAGTAGGTCTGTGTCCAGCTCATTGAAGTGGTTCAAGCCGTTCATCGGCGGACTGCAGGAGTCGTTATCCGACAGGATGATTACATCATCATCATCATCATCATCATCATCATCATCTAGGGACGGGGGACGCTTCTCGCTCTTTATGGAGCTAATCGAAGAAGACGGAAGAAGGAAAAGAAGAAGAAAGTGGTTTACATTGAATCTGAAAAGGTGTAGAGAGAAGTGTAGTAACCCATGTTGTCCACAAGGTGGCTAACAAGTCATTCATAATATCTTCTGTAGTTTTACTTCTCACAAAGTGGCACCTCTAGAATAAGAGAGATATAGGTGGCACCTTGCTAGCCTCTTTGCATGCCACAGATTAACTAATAATGTAGGCCTACTCATGGATATGATATGTACAGCACATTATCAAGTCATTAAAGAGTGTTACATCTGCATTGCTTGCAGTTTGGGGTTTTAGGCTTTAGGTTTCTGCTGATGTAAAAAGGACTTTCTAAATACATTTGATTTGATCCGTTAAAGAACAGGGATCTTTTGGGACCGAGGGAACAGGGGAAGATATTCAAGAGGGAACTGTTTGGATCAGTTCTCTGTCATCTACAGTCTCTACTATCAGATAACCGTCCGCAGAAATGGCCCCCTTCCCCCTCACCCTCTTCTTCTTACCAGGAAACATAAAGCTGTGTTAACATGATAAGGAGTAGGAGGGAACTGCGTTATAAACACCTCACACCTAGACAAGCCGTGTCTCTATTGGAAGGCTACCATTTATATCTGTTGTATGTTAGACGTGGGTGGGCCAGTGGCTGTTTGAGTTTGAATAGCATCAATGAAATGTATTTTATTGCTGTAAACTTGTATGGATATGAATTACCCAGTTTAAAGTGTGACGTAGAGTAAATTACAAATTCTAATGAGACAAATTGTAAATTCTCAAAAGTGGGCATTAAAAGAATGTTTAATGAGTAAGGAGGGACAACCAGCCTCCTCCTCCTTAGCACCTTGAGTGTGTCTCCTTCCCAGGGTTTAACAGCACCATCACCACTTCCTGTGGATTAATCACTCTTCCAAAGCAGGTCACATGACCTTCCACTCAGGCATCATCACGTGACCCTGGCTCTCACTCTGCCCCCCTCCCCTCGCTGTTCCTTCCACAGTGGAAACCATGGCAACAGCCAGTTGGAACCGGTTTATGACACACAGGCTTCATTTCGTGGAGGGGAGTTTTAAAGGCTCTCCACAGTGATTTCACAGTTTCTCACGTTCCAAAAATTCAGCCGCACAAAAGTACATAGAGAGCTACGCAAACAAAGCTCAGTCGGCTCCGGATCCGTGGAGCCCTTTAGGGTTCAGGTAGTGAGAGGGGAAAAAGGAGGGAGGGTCAGACGGGAAATTTTGAAGGACATATTTATTTTGGAGACTGCACCGCCCCCCTCCCCTTCCCCACGAATTCTAAAACTTTTGTTTATTGGGGAAGTCAGTTTTAAATGGCATAGAGTAAATGCTACTACTAGTACTAGAGTAAAAGGAGCTGATCTCGCATCAGTTTTTAAGAGAATAAAAACAGTTTGTTCTCACCCTCTAGAGGTGCTCATGTCCAGAGCCTGCTCTCCTGTCTGGACCTCCACTTTAATGGTAGCCTTCACCTCCGTTGACGTCATCATACTGCTGGCCACCTTCGGCTCTGACCGCACAGTCCGGTTCTGCCCATCTAGATGCATCTCACTCTTCACCCTTACCTGGTCGCTGCGGTCATTCCGCTCAGTCCGGTTCTCTAAGCTCTGTTCTGATTGTTTCAGGGCCGGGTCCTGCTCTTGCTCATTTGCTGGTTGTGATGGTAACACTAACGGTAATGTGAACCGGGGTAGTTCTGGTTCCGTTACCTTCTCAGGCTGAACCACAGGCTTAACCAGAGGTTTAACCAGGTCCTTGTCATCCTTTGTGGTTTCGGGTTGTGGTTTATTTGGGCTCTCATGATCCTGGTCCGGAGCTCCAGTCTCGGCCCCGTCTAGTTTGAGCTTTTTGCTGTCAGACTCAGTGGGAGGGGCTTCAGAATCAGGGGGTGGGATTTCCCTCCCCAGCGCCCTCTTCTGGCTGCGTGTCTGACGAACAGCCTCCTCAGACATCCCCCTACAAAGATAAGGAGAGAAGAAGAGTTGGTCAGCCATTCACTGGAATAGACAAAGCTGACGTCAATAGATAGTAAAGCATAATATAGCCCTGGACTAGGATGGCCATAGCTGACCTCAAATCAGTTGTAAAACATAAAGTGTATAGAACTTGGACAGGCATAGCTGACCCTGAAGCAGTTACTGAGGACAGAGACAAAACATAGCTTCATAGAGAGGGACCGAATGTGGTGTGAAGTGGGCAACAGATGTTGTCCTGTGGGACAGAATGGAGTGAGAGACTTACAGTACTTAGCTAGTCTCTCTCTCTCTCTCTCTCCTCTATCTCTCTCCTCTCTCTCTCTAGATCGTCTCAGTCGAGAGAGCGAGCTTCGAGCGAGACGAGCTAAGACTCTCTATCGCTCTCTCTCTCTATGCATCATCTCTCTCTCTCTCTCTCTCTCTCTCATCTATCTTTCTCTTCTGATCTCTCTCTCTCTCTCTCTCTCTCTCTCTCTCTTCTCTCTCGCTCTCTCTCTCTATCTCTCTCTCCGTCTCTCTCGGTCCTGTCTGTCTGTCTGTCTGTCTGTCTGTCTGTCTGTCTGTGCGACTGATGGCAAAGAGATTGGGGATGGAACACACATCACCACCTTGGTGCCAGCTACCCAGATGCTAGCTGCTCTTAATCCCTGCCTCCCGTTTACACACACGTGATAGGGAGACAGAGACAGACAGAGAGACAGACAGAGAAAAACTGGGAAACAAGAAGTAGAGAGACTTGACCAGACAACGCTAGACTGTCTGTACGAGATACTGCAAGACTAATCACAGTCATACTAACAGACAGTTTTTTTTTAACCCCTCTGACATCACTAAGGCACATATGACCCTTCCCAGGATTCATTGGGACACACAAAGCACTTTTTCTAAGAACCAGTTTAAACCGGTTGGCGAGCGAGTGTGTGTTGTGTGTGAGTGGTTTAGAGAGATGCTGAAGCAGGTTAACCCTTTGAGGCCCGGAACGGAAACTCTGCTCCTACACTGACAGATTCTTATTTGAGACGGGGGGGGGGGGGGGGGGGGACGGGGGGGGGGGGGAGTCTTCTCATTCTTTGTTGATTTAAAAAAAGATTTTGACTCAATTTGGCATGAGGGTCTGCTATACAAATTGATGGAAAGTGGTGTTGTGGGGGGACGACAATATTATAAAATCAACAAGTGTGCGGTTAAAACTGGCAACAAAAAAATTACATATTTCCACAGGGCTGTGGGGTGAGACAGGGATGCAGCTTGAGTCCCACCCTCTTCAACATACAGTGCATTCGGAAAGTATTCAGACCCCATGACTTTCCACATTTTGTTACGTTACAGCCTTATTCTAAAATTGATTAAATAGTAGCTTGAGCTCCACCCTCTTCAACATACAGTGCATTCGGAAAGTATTCAGACCCCATGACTTACCCCCCCCCCCCCACAGGTTTTTGGCAGCGATTACAGCCTCAAGTCTTCTTGGGTATGACGTTACAAGCTTGGCACACCTGTATTTGGGGAGTTTCTCCCATTCTTCTTTGCAGATCCTCTCAAGCTCTGTCAGGTTGGATGGGGAGGTGACTAGTCTCCCAGTCTCGGCCACTGAAAAACATCCCCACAGCATGATGCTGCCACCACCATGCTTCACCGTAGGGATGGTGCAAGGTGTCCTCCAGACGTGACACTTAGCAATCAGGCCAAAGAGTTCAATCTTGGTTTCATCAGACGAGAGAATCTTGTTTCTCATGGTCTGAGAGTCCTTTAGGTGCCTTTTGGCAAACTCCAAGCGGGCTGTCATGTGCCTTTTACTGAGGAGTGGCTTCCGTCTGGCCACTCTAAAATAAAGGCCTGATTGGTTGAGTGCTGCAGAGATGGTTGTCCTTCTGGAAGGTTCTTCCATATCCACAGAGGAACTGGAGCTCTATCAGAGTGACCATCGGGTTCTTGGTCACCTCCCTGACCAAGGCCCTTCTCCCCCGATTGTTCAGTTTGGCCAGGCGGCCAGCCCTAGGAAGAGTCTTGGTGGTTCCAAACTTCTTCCATTTAAGAATAATGGAAGCCACTGAGTTCTTGGGGACCTTCAATGCTGCAGACATTTTTTAGTACCCTTCTTCAGATTTGCACCTCGACACAATCCTGTCTCGGACCTCTACGGACAATTCCTTCGACCTCATGGCTTGGTTTTTGCTCTGACATGCACTGTCAACTGTGGGACCTTATTTACACCTGTCTATATAAGGTATTTCATTTTTATTTTTAATACATTTGTTTTCACTTTGTCATTATGGGGTATTGTGTGTAGATTGATAAGTAAAAAATTAATTCAACCCATTTTAGAATAAGGCTGTAACGTAACAAAATGTGGAAAAAGGAAAGGGGTCTGAATACACTGTATATATCAACGAATTGGCGAGGGCACAACAACAGTCTGCAGCACCCAGCCTCACCCTACTAGAATCTTAAGTAAAATGTCTACTGTTTGTTGATGATCTGGTGCTTCTGTCCCCAACCAAGTAGGGCCTACAGCAACATCTAGATCTTCCACACAGACTCTGTCAGACCTGGGCCCTGACAGTAAATCTCAGTAAGACAAATATAATAGTGTTCCCAAAAAAGGTCCAGTTGCCAGGACCACAAATACAAATTCCATCTAGACACCGTTGCCCTACAGCAGTGGTTCCCAACTCCAGTCCTCCAGTACCCACAACAGCACACATTGTTGTTGTAGCCCCAGACAAACATACCTGATTCAACTGATGATTAGTTGACAAGTTGAATCAGGTGTGCTTGTCCATGGCTACAATAAAAATGTGTACTGTTGGGTATACTTGAGGACCGGAGTTGGGAACCAATGCCCTAGAGTACACAAAAAAACTATACATACCTCTGCCTACATATCAGCACCAAAGGTAACTTCCACAAAGCTGTGAACGATCTGAGAGACAAGGCAAGAAGGGCCTACGCCATCAAAAGGAACATAAAATTCGACATCCCAATTAGGATCTGGCTAAAAATACTTGAATCAGTTATAGAACCCATTGCCCTTCATGGTTGTGAGGTCTGGGGTCCACTCACCAACCAAGAATTCTGCTAAATGGCATATTATTATTATTATTATTATTATTATTATTATTATTATAAGAATTCACAAAATAGGACAAACACAAAATTGAGACCGCATGCATAATTCTGCAAAAAACTTTTGGCCAATACCAGGTAATTATCAAAATCTAGAAAAAAACAGTTAAACTCCACAACCACCTAAAAGGAAGCGAGTCCCAAACCTTCCATTACAAAGCCATCACCTACAGAGAGATTAACCTAGAGAAGAGTCCCCTAAGCAAGCTGGTCCTGGGGCTCTGTTCACAAATAGACCCCACAGAGCCCCAGAACAGCAACACAATTAGACCCAACCAAATCAAGAGAAAACAAAAATATAATTAATTGACACATAGGAAAGAATTAACCAAAAAAACAGAGTAAACTGGAATGCTATTTCGCCCTAAACAGAGAGTACATAGTGGCAGAATACCTGACCACTGTGACTGACCCAAAATTAAGGAAAGCTTTGACTATGTACAGACTCAGTGAGCATAGCCTTGCTATTGAGAGAGGGCAGGCATTCCAAAACACCCGTCTGCCAGGAAGATGAGAGAAGAAGAGAAAGAGCGGGAGGAATGAAACGGCCAACATACTAATGCATACTCATGTCTGCTGTCACCATGACAACTCTGCATAGAACTTGTCTGTAGGCACTGACTAGGCAGTAGGGCCTACAAGGCACAGATCTAGGACCAGCTCACCCTCCCCAAATCCTAAGGTCAGGATCTAAATGACTTAATGGCTGACATGTATCAGGTTACATCTCCATGGCAGCTCACCACATCTCTCTCTAACACGCACACAAGAATCTACTGAGATGACTTGTCTGTGACATTGCCCCTTACGGATATAAGTACTGGTAGATCAGTGTTTCCCAAACTTGGTCCTGGGGACCCAAATGGGTGCACGTTTTGGTTTTTTGCCCTAGCACTAGACAGCTGATTAAAATAATCAAAGCCTGATGATTACTTGAACCCCCTTGGGGTCCCGAGGACCAAGTTTAGGAAACGCTATGATAGATCCATCCATCAGCAAGCTCTCCTCCTTCGCCACACACAGGAAAGGCCTACATTGGCATGATCTGAAAATGTCACCACACTGTATGTCCTCTACTCACTAAAGTGTGTGTGTATGTGAATGTGTCCAGGCAGTATATATAGCATGTTACCATGGCACTGGTTGTAGGTATACACGTCAGGATAGAGACATACCATTCTGACTCTGGATGGGATTTAGCCCAATAAGAATATAACCATGACAACAAACTGACAAGTAAGCAAGTAGCCTTACCTATGGAACGCTCTCTGTCTCCCCACTTGAGGCATTTTCTAAATGATACCAACTACGATCAACTTCATCGGTCACCACTATCATCATCATAGACCTTAACCATCTGGAAGTCTACAGCTGGTTCTTTCATACAACAGTCATCAGCCAATAACAACACACTATCAGGCCGCTGCACCACCACCACCGGCCAATAGGAACACAGTGTCTCTGTCTGCAACTGTTTGTTTTGTGGTATTTCTGTCCTTTGTCTCTGCGACCTCGTCCTTCCTTCCTGACCATACGCTACTTTGTTTACCCCACTTTTCATCCATTCTGTGTGTGTGTCCCTGTCAAACAAATTGTAAACAAGATGTTTATGTTGAAGATATGATCAAACTTGCTTTATTGCGCATCTTATCTTAAGGGTAGGAAACAACACATCTGCCACGCTGATCCTCAACACTGGGGCCCCTCAGGGGTGCGTTACTTAGTCCCCTCCTGTACTCCCTGTTCACCCATGACTGCGTGGCCAAGCACGACTCCAACACCATCATTAAGTTTGCCAACGACACAACAATGGTAGGCCTGATCACCGAAAACGATAAGCCTATAGGGAGGAGG